ACTATCACGCAATTGGGGACGGAACCCCTGTTATTCTACTATTGCAAATAGACCACCTGTAAACTTTTTTTTGACTCTCTTCCTCACAAGGGTAAAAGAGTTAAACAAATTCACTCTGGGAGGCTATGTGCAACAACATAATTATTGGGGGTTCATCCATAATTAACCCTTCATTAAAGATGGCTTTACAAATCTTTTATACATCCCATCCTATGAGTGTTGTTACAAGAAAATCGATAACAGTCCTTATAGATGATTTTAACTGTCTCATTCGAAGGAGGTGTATGTCAAGAAAATATGGAGGCATTAAAGATGAATACATGGTTAAAATATGGAGGCATTAAAGATGAATACATGGTTAACTACATTAGATTCATGTCCATAGTATTAGCTCATGCAAAAAGTGGTTCGAGCCTATTAGCCGATTGAGTACTTCAAGGTGATTTGTATTAGTAAAAAACATTGATATGCAAGAATTACAACGTGAATCTGCTGTGAAAAGTCTCTTAAGTGCAGTAATTTTATTTACTGTAAAAAATAGCTAATTCTTGGAATAAGATGAATATTTGAACTAAATTGCCATATATTCTCCTTTGAGACAGACTACAGGTTCTCTGTACTTCTGGGCTGCTCATTTGGCTGGTCCAGTCTGGGGTCCATTTGCATCATGGTGCTGTGCTTGGCTCGAGACAATTGGCCTTGTTGCTGGCATTGGAACACAGGTATCATCTCTTCTTCAAGTGAGAGATAAAAGTTTATTGATGATTGTTCAAAAGTAGTTTGTATAATGCTTCATTATAATGCTCATATTTCTTTAGGTTGTAAAACCAAAAAAAGTTTCTTTTCCTTTTAACAAAATATATTCAAGGTTCTTAAACAAGGAGCACTTTTGTTACTTGTTAATCTTTGGTGGCACAGAACTACTTGTTATATTTAGGGTTAAATGCACATACATTTTCTATACTATTCTTTTAGCATTTGCACTCCCTGAAGTCCAAAGAACATTATTTCTCAAAGTCATGTTAAGAAGCAGCTAGTGTAAGTGTAAATAATTTTTTTATAAGGAATAAGTGACTATACCACCATAGCAGAGGCGGATCTAGAAAATTTTTGTTGGAAGGGCGGACAACATATGCCTATTTACCTAAAAATCAAAATATTGTGAACATGTGGTGGGCCACACCCACGAGGACACGGGAGCAGTAGTTTCGGGCCCACCCGAAACACATGTGCAGCGAGGCACATGTGCATGCAGGTTTTGTTAAGGCCCAGTTCGGACGTATAAAAAGGAACGCCTTCTTTTAGGGTTTTGTGGGGGAAAACGCAGAGGAAGAAAAGAGGGTTAGGCGGTTTTTTTTGAGATAAAAAGCATAGTCTTTTCAGATCTAGAAAAGAGAGATCTTGAGAAGAGATAAAAGGAGAGAGTTTTTGAGAGATTTTACAAAAGAGAGGTCAATTTCTTTTGAGTAAAAATCAAATTTTTTTTGAGACGAGCTTGTGGATTGTACAAGTCGTCGATATTCTCATTCATAGTGGAATCTCCCCTCCCCCTTACCCGAGGACGTAGGCAAGTTTGCCGAACCATGTAAATCTCGTGTCTTTACTATTTTCTGGATGTTGGCTATTGCTTGAAGGTTCCATCGACAAGTCAGTCCTAGAATTGATGAGAGGAAGAGTATATATTTTACTTTGTTGAGATATTTTATTTTCTATTCTTGTTTCCTTTGTGAAACGGGAATATAGAGGTTGACTTGAGTTTTTGTGAAAATAAAAGGTAGGGCTTTCTCTCGGGTTATATCGCTTCTGTGGCGTGAGGGCGTGACTCTGCGCCCAACAAGTATAATATTATAAAACTATAGTATTTGATGTGAATGTACTTAGGCATGTTTTATTGCTGAAAATATAAGTGGGCTTTTACTTTCTAATGACTTAACTTAATTGTTATTAAATTCTTTAGTTTTTTAATGCCTTGGGTGATTTTTCTTTTTCTTTTTCTTTTGTTGTGGGGTGGTATATAAAAATTACACGGCAATGCATGTAAATTTGTAAATGTCTAAGGGTGCAACTGCACCTGTAGCTAGGCTATGGATCTGCCCCTGCACCCTAGTATAGGGGGACTTTTCACAATTAACCCCGTGTGTTACTCAGTATTGAAATAATCTTCGCAAAAGTGTGCATTGTAAGATTTGTAGGATGTAGGATCAATCACTTATATTTACCTTTCATGCCACACAAATTGTTGCGGATATTTTAATTTTCTGAGAAATAATCATATTCTTCTACTTTTAGGCTTATGCAGGATCACAAACTTTGCAAAGTATCATTTTATTATGCACCGGCACAAATAAAGGTGGAGGATACTTCGCTCCTCGTGGTGTATTTCTAGCAATGTACATTGGACTCACACTCATATGGGCATTCCTCAATACATTTGCATTAGAAGTTATTGCCTTCATTGACATAATTTCTATTTGGTGGCAGGTAATCTTCTACCTATTGGAGGAATACAACATTTATTTAGTTGACAGTTTAATTATATGAGCGTCTCTTTGCGCCTAATGCACAAAGTTATTTAGTAGTTAGCCAAGGGCAGAAGGATTTAGGATAAGATGTTTTATGTGCGTTAAATATGACAAAACATGTTAATGGACGTAAAGAGACATGAATATAACCAAGCCTAGCAATTTGAAGTTAAAGTTCAGTGGTTTCTTTTTCTTTTCTCAATCCTTTACTTAATGTTAAAACATCAACAGCTTATTCTAGAATATGCAAATTATGTGTCAAAGGGTTTCCAAATGTATGGCACATAACTGCATTCCGAAGATATATGTATAATAGTTTCTTCATGGACACCACAAAAGCAGACAAATTATTTCCTAAATTTTATTGAGAAAAAGGCCTGAGTCTAATATTTATTGAAAATTGTTTCCTAATTATTTTTGTCAGCATATTATCCTTAATTACATCCATCAAATTCATTAACTACAAGCTCTAGAGCTTTATGGTGCCAGGGGTACCACATTTATCTGCTTCAAACAGAAATAAATATTGAAAAATCCTTAAAGCAGAAAAGTTAAGCCCATTTCATCTAAATTTATTAAGATTTGTCTGTTTTATTAGTCTCTAATATTCATCTGCTTGCAGGTTATCGGAGGCTTAATTATAGTTATCACACTTCCGTTGGTATCATTATCTACTCAACCTGCTTCATTTGTGTTCTCTCATTTTGAGACAGCACCAGATTCAACCGGAATTAGGAGCAGTGCATATGCAGCTATTTTATCATTACTTGTTAGCCAATATTCTTTATATGGATACGATGCGGCAGCACATCTAACAGAGGAAACAAGGGGTGCAGATAAAAATGGTCCAATTGCTATTCTTTCTAGTATAGGGATCATCTCAATATTTGGATGGGCTTATATTTTGGCGCTCACTTTCAGCATTCAGGTACATTAGTAACTACTATCTCGGCATTTAAATCTAAATTGGCTATTTCTAATATTGGGCGTTTTCTTTTCGCAGAATTTTGACTATCTATATGATGTTTCTAATGAGACTGCTGGAGCTTTTGTACCAGCACAGATATTATACGATGCATTTCATGGGAGATATCATAACTCTAGTGGGGCCATTATCTTGTTGTTCATCATCTGGGGTTCCTTCTTCTTTGGGGGCCTCTCAATTACTACAAGTGCAGCCAGAGTGGTATCTATCTTGCCTGACCTTAGTACTCTCATAAACTTTTGAAGAATTTATACTCTTTGAGACTACCCACAAGAAACAAACAACTGATACATGAATCCTATTCATCCATTCAGTTATGTTTATGACTATCTCCTCCATCAACACTATAATGTCCTTCTTTAGTGCTTCTAACGAAGTTCTTTAGTACCTCTCCGAACGGAGGAATTTTATAGACTTCATTGCATGGGCCCAAACCATCTCATTCGATTTTCTATTATTTTATGCTCAATAGGAGCAAACTCTAATTTTCTTCATATGCACTCATTTCTTAGTATACATCTACAAATCTGCATAACATTCTCATTTCTACTAAACTTGGATTGTGGCTTGGTAATACTTACCAATATTGCTACTTTGTAGGTTTATGCATTATCAAGGGATCAAGGAATTCCATTCTCATCCATATGGAAAAAAGTGCACCCAAAGCACAAGGTCCCTTCAAATGCAGTGTGGCTTTGTGCAGGCCTGTGCATTCTCCTTGGACTTCCTATCCTCAAACTCGACGTTGTTTTCACTGCCATCACTTCTGTATGCACAATTGGATGGGTCGGTGGCTATGCAGTTCCGATCTTTGCTAGGATGGTCATGGCTGAAAAGAATTTCAAGGCGGGCCCCTTTTATCTTGGGAGAGCAAGAAGGCCGATATGCTTGGTGGCATTTTTATGGATATGTTACACTTGCTCGGTATTTCTATTGCCTACGTCTTATCCTATAAAATGGGGTACCTTTAATTATGCGCCTGTTGCTTTGGGGGTCTGTATGAGTCTGATAATGCTGTGGTGGATTCTTGATGCAAGGAAATGGTTCAAAGGCCCAGTTAGAAACATTGATAGCCAGAATGGAAAGGTCTAATTTTATAGAAGTTATGTAACATAGATATCACTATATGTTTAAGGTTTATGATGAAGTTATATGGTTCAATTGTGTATGTATTGCTAGGATTATGATCTTAGTGGATAGTGACTCTTTTCAATCTGATTAATATACCATTGAAAATCGCAGAATTCATTTGTATCTCATCATTTTTATTGTTTGATATATTTGTAACTTTGCTGGAAAAACTGCTTGTCTGAAAGTTAAATAATTAGATTTAACTGTTCAGCAAATAATATGATGTTCATTTAATTTAATATCTCATCAATCTCAAAAGGTATTCCTCCACAGAAAAGGCCCGCTCCCTTTGTTTGCCTCCATGATTCATCTCCCTAGCCAAAAGCCATCTATAAGTTTGTCAAAAGAGCATCTATCTCATTGCGTGGGATAAATCTATCAAGATCTTTTGAGATAAGGAGTGACATATGATTCCATGAAATATTCCACTATGAAGATGCATCTAAATCCTGCTTTTGATTTTAGAATGTAGAATGATGCAATCTAGATTGGATCTAGCATTTAGTAATATCCACATACTGGTATAAGAGCCATTTATGTTTCAACTCTTGATCTCCTTCAAAACATATAGATCATGATAAAAAAATTGCTTCTTTATTTGTTAGATTAATTAAGAATTTACATTTTATGCATGTTTACATCATCTGATGTTTTTTAGGGATTTCTAGTGAGTGTGTGTGTATGTGTGTGTTTGTGTGTGTATATCATTGATATTACCATGCTAAAACTGATCTGTTAATATTATGGTTGTTGGGCACATATAGAATGTAAACCATAGAATTGGATGTTGCAATCTTTATTCTGTGTAATGAATTGGGATGTTCCTGTGCATGCATGGCAATTATGTTTATTTGATTTATATGATGAGGGGTGCATATGGCTGTATTGAATCTATGAAAGTTGATCTCTGATCAACAATTGTCTTAGAGGAAGATCAGTGGGAAACAAGATTTCATGACACATGAAGGTATATTGAGACTTCTCTGAAAAATTCTGTTAACATTAGTATGAACAAACTTCATTATTAGTCATTCTTACATCAAACTTATATACTGTTACAGAAAACTGAAATCATTATAAGCACAAGTTTCCCTATAATAGAAAGACGAGTGAGATAGTAAACAGAAGTTGTCAGCAGTGTGCTTTTGTCCTCATAGTTGATGCTGTATGAATAAATTCACGCTAGATTTTCTTCTATGGACAACAACTTGGCATGTAATACAAGATATTTGTCCTATTCATTCTTTCTACAATTGGGAAAAATTCGTGGTTTGAAATCTCAGCACGTTATCTTTTAAGCTTTGTATATTTTATGCATGTGCTTTGACTTTTTGAGCAGATACCTTTTGTGTGCTGATGAAAAGACATTTCCTCCTTAATTTGATCTGAATGAGTCAAAATTGATATGCTCCCATTTGTTTACTCCTTTTCTGTTTTCTTCCAACTTGTGCAAGGTCATTGAATCTCTCTAGTCTTCTGCACATGAGATTGCCAATACATTCAAACATGTCAATTTAATGACATGTATGGATTCATTTAGTCCATAATTGGCAGTAACTATCATAAGCAAGTAAAACATAAATAAATGTTATAATATTGTTTATATGAAGTTTGTATCCAGATGAGAGAAACTTTGGGTGGAAGTTCAGAAAAGTTGAGAACAGCGATAAGTTAAGCTGTTGTCCCTAAAGCTTGGACTTGCTTTGGCTACAAGGATTCTATTCTCCCATTCAATTTTGTTGTGGGCCATCTCCTCTTTTAAGTTCATTATTATCACATCATTTTTTAGTTGCTTCCAAATAATATTTGTCCCATTAACTATGGGCTTGTCACTTCTTCAAACTGATGCATTTATTGAACTCTATTCTACGTGACCGTTTATGTCTTGAAAATTGATGTGTGGTTTATGGGAGTTAAACTTGATTTTGAGGTGCCTTAATTGCCTTTGATGGTTGAATCTCCCATTGAGGATCTTGAGCTGTAATTTCCTACACAAGTAACAAAGGTTAGAGGCCTAGATATTGTTTCCTCTGGGGTGCCCTTCGACGCTCAAGTCAATGACTAGTCTATTAATCTAAAGAGAAAAGCAGAAGGTAGTCTTGTTAACTTTTTGTGTGTAGAATTGCGTACTTTAGAATAACAAAGATGATGCTATTTATGGGAAGTTTGCGAGGGCATTTAGGTAATTTGATTGACCAGTTGATTTCATGCTACATTGTTGCTTTACACATGTCCTTAGCTGATTGGTTGGAGGCGGACACCGTTCGAGGGTTCATTATGGTGCCTAACTATGCATTAAGTGTGATAGCGACTTGGTGGCGGAATATGGACGTTGAACTATTTAGCATTAAATGCGAACTTTGTTGACAAGACCACTAGTTATTCCTTGTTCCGGATTTTTCCCTTATCGAAACCCGACTCGAAGGTGCCCTTTGACTCGACCCGGGCTCAACTGAGGATCTTGTCTTGAAGGGTCCTTTGGTCTCGGATCCAGGTTGCACAAATGGGTCGACTAGTTATAGCCTAGACTTGGTTTGGGCATGTCAGCCATTTGTTCCATCGTACTAAGCCTGCCACGTGGCCAGTTGAAGGACATGATAATTTTCTGGGTATAACAGTGACCAAGCCATCTCCGTCAATTTTCTCTCATCTTATTCTCAACAGGAGCAACCACTAACCTCTTGAGATTGCAATTATTTCTTATTGTATCTCTTGTATAATGTTGCCATTTTAAACAATAACTTAGAAGAGTGAACGTATCATCTTTTGCTGTGCAGCCGTAGTGTTGAATGTTGACTAATCATATGGCTTTGTCAAATTTTTCTGCTCAATAGTGTTTCAGTTTTAAATCCTTAGACCAAGTGATTCCTTAAAAGATACTGACACTGAACCCCACATTTTATATTTTCTCCTACTTATTCTTACTCTATATGTATATCGAGAAAAAAAGAGAGATCCTTGAATTCCTGGAAATGGAAATGGATTCAGGAGAGAAGCGCCTCAATGAACTCGGTTACAAACAAGAGCTCAGAAGGGAAATGGTAACTAGAAACTATCATTTGCCTAAGGTATACCCTGCCAAATGTCAGCAAGTTGTGGCTAACAATTTTTTTGGTAACAGACTTTGTTCAGGACAATATCCATATGCTTTTCAACTGTGACTCTTTTTGCTGCGAGCACGCAGATGTATGGTCCTAGCTTGCTCTATGCGGGACCTGCAAGCTTAATATGGGGTTGGGTTGTCGTTTCGTTCTTCACTTGGTTTGTCG